TGTAAAGACTAAAGGTGAACTCCAAATTTACAGTGTTGGTTTTCCTTTTGAAAGATTGGCCATTGATTTCCTAGGTCCTTTCTCGAAATCTTCTTCTGGGAATCGCTTCATTTTGGTTGTCACTGATTATTTTTCAAGATGGCCAGAGGCTATACCTCTTCCAAATCAACAAGCTACTACCGTAGCTGAAGCTTTAATTCGAGAGATCATTTCTCGTTTCGAAATTCCGCTTGAAATTCATTCCGATCAAGGTCGAAACTTCGAATCCCCGATTTTCAACGAAATTTTGAACCTTCTAGGAATCGACAAAACTAGGACAACCCCTCTTCACCCCCAATCTAATGAAATGGTGGAACGATTGAATAGAACCATCACAAATTATTTAGCGAAGTTTATTAATTTTAACCAGAAAGATTGGGACAAATGGATCCCACTTTTTCTCCTCGCTTTTCGTTCTTCAAAGCATCAAACTACTGAATATACTCCAGCTTTGTTGATGATGGGTCGTGAACTCAAGCTTCCTCTGGATCTCATTAGAGGTTTTCCCCCACATGATTCTTCTCAAACTCTGCCTGAATATGTCGAAAATTTCAAGAATCAACTTGATTCAATTCATTTCAATGTTCGAAATAAACTCCAAGTTAAGAGTGATCTAATGAAATCGAGATTCGATATTAAAACCAACATGATTCATTTTCAACCTAACCAAAAAATTTGGTTCTTCAATCCACGTAAAGTTAAAGAAAAATTTCCCAAATTACAGTGTGATTGGGAAGGACCTTACGTTATCAAAAATAAATTGAATGACGTAGTTTACCGCATTCAAAAATCACCTCATTCGAGACCTAAAGTAATCCACATTAATCGGATTGCTCCATATGAGGATTAAACCCTCTTTTCTTCATTTCTTTATTATTTATTAATCTATGTGTCCATTACTGGCCATAATTGACAGACGAATAACTTTCTTTCTTCTTTTATTTCATTTTCCCGGGATATATTCAAGAGATAACGATTGCGCATAGCTTCTCTATCTTTTATTCTTTCTGAAGAATAATCTTTTCTTATTCTTTCTTTTTATTCGACCTTGATTCTGCCAGATTTTCCCATTCTCTTTTTCAGAACCATTTCTGATCAAGATTTTCCTGGATTGACCTGTCACGCGGCCCCTATTGATGACCAGTACTGACTACTACAAATCCAGACAAACATACCCTTATTTCAAATCAATTCCTATTCTCTTTTGTATTTTTCGTCTGGGTTTTCGAAGAGAATATGGGTTAAGAGCCCCAGATAACTTAAATATCACNTCAAGAGAATATGGGTTAAGACCCCCAGATAACTTAAATATCACTTCTCTTTTAAAACTGATATTTCTGTTGCTCTTAACAGGTTTGCCTGATTGTCGCGACGACAATCTTTCTTTCAGAGGGGAGAGTAGTGTTATGATTATCTAATTCTCCCTCAGAATGCATTCCATCGAGTCTGCATTCTTTTCCTTCCTCAAAACCTCTCCTCTGAAGTTAGCGCCTCTTTTTTNTCTTAGAATTCTTTAATGCCTAAAGGAGGTTAGGCGGTGTTTGAGGTGAATTTGAGAGTGAATTTCTGTGGTTCCCGGTAGCTTAGTCGGTAAGAGTGCCCGGCGCGTATCTGGGAGACCCGGGTTCGATTCCCGGCTGGGTGAAGCGGAAATTGGCACTCTCTAAATTCTAATTCTCTTAGAATTCTTTAATGCCTAAAGGAGGTTAGGCGGTGTTTGAGGTGAATTTGAGAGTGAATTTCTGTGGTTCCCGGTAGCTTAGTCGGTAAGAGTGCCCGGCGCATATCTGGGAGACCCGGGGGCGATTCCCGGCTGGGGGAAGCGGAAATTTTTTCTCTCTAAATTCTAATTCTCTTAGAATTCTTTAATGCCTAAAGGAGGTTAGGCGGTGTTTGAGGTGAATTTGAGAGTGAATTTCTGTGGTTCCCGGTAGCTTAGTCGGTAAGAGTGCCCGGCGCATATCTGGGAGACCCGGGGGCGATTCCCGGCTGGGGGAAGCGGAAATTTTTTCTCTCTAAATTCTAATTCTCTTAGAATTTTTTTTTGCCCATATATATAGGCACACCCCATATATATACCCCCCCATATATGAACACCCCCCCATATATGAACCCCCCCCATATATGAACACCCCCCCCCACATATGAGGTGTGCCCATATATATAGGCACCCCCCATATATGGGCACACCCCATATATGGAGGGGTGTTCATGTATGGGGGGGTGTTCATCTATGGGGGGGTGCCCATATATGGGGGGGTGTTCATGTATGGGGGGGTGTTCATGTATGGGGGGGTGCCCATATATGGGGTGTGCCCATATACGGGGGATGCCCATATACGGGGGGTGTTCATATATGGGGGGTGCCCATAAATGGGGGGGTGCCCATATATGGGGGGGTGCCCATTTATGGGCGGTGCCCATTTATGGGGGGTGCCCATTTATGGGGGGTGCCCATTAATGGGGGGGAATTATATATATGTGGCCTCTTATGGTAAAGTATGTATAGAGCTATCGGAAAAACCCTCCCGGTCACACCCACTCGGTCACACCGGAAGGGGGGAGTGAGCGATGCGAGCAGGGGGGGGGCGAAGCCCACCCCCGGGGTTGGCGAGCGGAGCGAGCAGGGGGCGTAGCCCCCTAGTAATAGATAAATGAAATTTTGACCCCCTGTTTTTTTGCAGCATCCTCTACAGGCAAAAGGTCAATGGCAACCATCGCCAAAATGCTTCTCTCCGAAATTGGGAAAATATTATCGCTCTCTCCAAGGGAGTAGTTGAAGAGAAAATATTATGACCAAAAGTTATTCCACATTGCCAAAAATTCGTGAGCTAACGTTATGCAGTTAAGGGTTCTAAGGAATATTGGCAACAAGTTAGTATATCACCCATGGTGATTTTTTATCCTACTACAGTATTGGTTTAAAGGTCATCGTATTTTTACTACTAAAAAGATGACCTATCATGAAATCGTTGTCTTTTTTTTATTTTCCACTATTTAGGGAAATCGTTTTCGTAATTTCTTAATTTCACATTTAATCTCACAAACAGGCAGGTGCAGCATAATGTCAAGATCAATTTTTTATTGCTGGATGAATTTTGAAGAAAAAATGTGTTTTCACATTGTATGGAGCATCTCATTGTTTAGTGGACAACAACAAAATAATTAAGAAGTCAATTTCAATATTTTCTCTAATTATGTTAATGACGAATCAATGGAGATAATAGTTTTTCATCATTCAACAGGTCATCTTATCGTTAATGATGTGTTCTTTACAAGTTCATTAGATATATCAGTTGGAATAAATATAAGTACAGCTTTAAAACCTGAGAAGATTGCTATGAGAGCGCGAGGGAGAGTCATTAAATATTATACAGTGTGTCCCATAACATGTGACCAAAGTAAATTGCGTAGAATACCGCAAGGTGGCATTGCAGTCTAAGGTCTAATATATGGTTAAAGTGGAGACTCACCGCGAATTTCATTCATGCTTCAGTCGCTCGGGAATTGCAGCACTAAAATGGAAAATTTAACCATTGAATAAAAATCATTCTAAGTATGGCACACACACTGGAGTGTCTGATTCGAGTCTCAAACGGTAAATAAAGTGAATGAACTAACTAACCAAAAAATTTTGTTTTCTTCTTTTGTTGAAAATTGACGCATTTTTCGGCCAATTATGAGTATTTTCAGGATAATTAAGAAATTTGATCAGTACGGTACACTAGATGATACAGGGCATGAGCATCCTGGTGCTTCACGTACTGTCACCACGGATGAAGTTGTCCGCACAACTGAAGAACATTTCAAAAAGTATCCGAATGATACTCTTTGAACGGCTTCTCAAACCTTGAAAGTCTCAAAAACTTCACTGCACCGCATCTTGGAAGTGTTTTTAAACTTCCATCCCTACAAAATTTCGGTACATCAATTTTTAAGTGAGGAGGCGATGGCTCGCCGTGTTCAATTTTGCCAAGAACTTCACAATTTTTTTGAATCCAAGGAAATGAAGGCATAGAATATCATCTTCTCGAACGATGCACATTTCTACTTAGATCGCTTAGTAAATAAACAAAATTTTCGCGTTTGGGGGACTAGTCATCTCACGTTATTGAAACCAAGTCCTCACACCCGAAAAAAAGTCACTGCATGGGCGGCAATTACAATAAAAGGTATTTTCCTTGAATTTATTAAGAGTCCGACAATCATTGCTGGTATTTACGCTGAGTTCTTGAAGAAGAACTTCTTTCCTTGGGCATGAAAAAATCAGTTAGTCAAGAATTTCTACTTCATGCAAGATGGTGCCACCCCGCACAGGACTGCTGCAGTACCTAAGCATATATTCGGGTACCCTAAGTATGCCCATGGACGCATGGAATGGCCGCCGTACAGTCCGGACTTAAATCCCTGCGATTTTTGCCTATGGGGTTTTCTCAAGGACAAGCGCTATGAGAAGCATCCGACGACGGTGCAAGACGCAATTAGGGATGCTATCCGAGCTGTTGATTAAAACATAATACAGCGCATCTATACCAGTTTCGAACGCAGGATAGAGTTCTGTAGTACAAGTGATGGCGAATACTTGGAAGGAATTATATTGTAATTTGCCGAATGTTCCGTGTACAATAAAAAAAGGACAATTATTTACATTTTAATGTATCCAAGTTATTTGTAATTTGCTTTAGTCACATGCTATGGGACATCCTGTAATGCCTGTTTAGTATAAACAAAGATAAGATGACTAATGCAGCTGTGAATATTAAAAAGCTATGGAAACGGTACCATAAATACTATAGATTTAACTAGTAAAAATAATCAGGAAGACAATTAACAAGTGCAAATATGGAAAAAAGTGATATTTGTTCAATAAGCCTACATATTAAGTACATTTTTACGTTTGTATTCATGGAAAAAATACATGTGATTTTTGTAAATACATTTTTATTTATTTTAGTCCGCTTTCTCTGTCCTCGTACGAAAAATTCGCGAATTCAATGAAGTATCCTGTACACATGACGCGCTTTTATTGTTCTTTCATTAGTAAATTGCGAGTGTATTTTTTTCATAATCCTCATGTGAACCATTATCGAACAATTCGATCTCTAAGGCCTCGACCGGCTGCCAACTCGGGATTAACACGCCTTCTGAGAATATTCATTTCATGAAGCTCTTCATCATTGAATATCCCGTAATCTTCATTGCCTACGTATGGTTCATTTTCGCCTGCAGGGAATAAGAAGCCACCTATGCTAGCCATATTGTGTAAAACTACACATGTTTTTGTTATTTTTGCCGCCGTTGCCGGATGATAATGAAGTACTCGATGTTTGAGGAGACAACGCCATCTGATCTTCAGAATTTCATTAACCCGTTCGATGAGGGACCCTCCTCGACAGAATACACGATTAAACGCGTCCTCAGGAGAATCGTCGAATGGATCCTTAAATGGCGTCATGAGCCATGGCCGTAAAGGGTACCCCGCATCTCCTAAAGAAAGTTAAACCATAAAATTAACGTTTACGTCTACGAAAAATTTTTTATTGAAAAACCTAGTGAATTCGCTAGAAAATTCTATTGGATTCCTATTTAAAGTTCTATTCGTTTTTGGCCGATTTTATTGAAAATATTTTATAGAAATAAATCAATAGCAATTGGTCTTTCTATACAAGTTTTTCTATTGAGATATTTTCTATAGAAATTCCTCGACATAAAATTTCTAAGCCTTTGTCTTATTTCATTCGAAATTTTTTTATTTGAAAAGATGTGAAAAAACACTTGGAAAATTTCTGCCAAGGAATTCCTACAGAAAATAACTTCATCGAGAAAGTTGTGGAGAAAGACCATGTTCTATTGATTTTTTTAAATAAAATATTTTGAATAGAATTGGCCAAAAACTAATAGAATTCTCAATAGAAATCCAATAGAATTTCCTAGCGAATTCGCTATTTTTTCTACAAAATTATATCGTACGTGTAATTTTATCCCATCATAATTGCATTTAATGAGCAAGTTCAGATATTGTCAACATTTTTTGTATCCGGAAATTGTAGCTAAAAATTGGACAAATAATGGACAATTGTCGATTTTTTCTTATCCAAATCGGATTGATGTACTCATAAAATTTACTGACATTGAGCGTTGAAAAAATGAGAAAATAATTGTCAGAAATTCCCGAAGTTTTTTACCCCCTAAATTTATCAAAAATGACAATTTTTTGCACCCTTAATAGAATTTTAGATTACCGAGCAAATAAACCCGTTCACCATGGTAATTATGCAATATTCTCATTAATGGCTGGACGTTACTGGAATTCCAAATTGTACAATGCGCTTCCAGGAAACCTGGCGTTGACATTAACAATTTAGAAATCAGCGTCACATATCTGTAATACAAAAAATAATGCAATTAATGACGCAATCGAAATCTCAAAGTACACTTAATATTCTTTTTGGCCTATCACTCAACTCACCAACTGAACATTTAATGAACGGTATTCTTTGCAATTTACATACACGTTTTCAGGGTGCACTGGGTCGTTAATTCTTGGCGGAACAATTGCCACATGAGTCCCATCAATGCAACCAATTGCATTGGGAAAACCGAACCGACGAAAGAACCTGCAAACAATCAACTTATAGAGGAGAGTCGGGTAAAATGGGACGTTTCGTGATCTTCTCTAATTGTCAATATTTTCACTGATAAATAAAGATATTGACAATTGGGAAAAATTTCAATATGTCACATTTTACCCGACCCTCCCCTAAAATATATGAATAATAAAAACCGCAATACTCAGTACGATTGATAATAACCTATCACGAGATGCTCGGACATCCTCGATGTTCCTATGCGCTAGCTGCCTACCGCCGATTGCGCCACTCGTGGCGGATAATGACATATTATAGGCAGAAAAAACAAACGATTGAAACATTTCTTTCTCAATTTTCACTTGTCACTGAATGTCATAACTACACTCGAATTGAATGGAATCACTCAAGCAAAATTCATATCAAATTATGGACATTTTTCAGTCGTTTTTACTTTGGATGATGTAACTTGCTTGTCTGGTTGAAGGTTTAGTTTGAATTCAAAATTCAAGCGATAAAGCTATGAAGTTAGTCATTAACACCCGAAAGTTACCAAAAGACACCGCTGAGGCGGCGTTACTAGTGCTCTTTATGAGATACGCAGCTAGCGTATAGAACCTGACATATTCATCAAATACTTCATTTCGGTTGAATACATTGATGACCGTGTGTATGGATCTGCTCACTGATGGTTGGCTAATGGCTCAATATCCACCCATCCAACTATCTAATTGGTAACTTCCACTTGCAAAAAATCTTACTGCTGTAAGCACCTATAAAATCCAATGCGGTGATTAATTATAGTACAAAAAAAGTGAACTCCCTAATGCGTTAACCCATCCTACAGCTCAGTTTACGAGAGAAATTCGAATCTAACAGAGATATCGAAATTTTCATTAGAACTTTTTTTGTAGACCCGATGTCGCTGGACAAAAGAGGTACTTATACGAATTTCACTATCTCTCTTATATTTAGGGATGATCCTGGAAGAGGATTTTTTCTGTGATCCTTATGATTAAAAGAGCAAGGCGTTTTGTTTTTGTTTTTCAGTTATCGAGAAAAAATAAATCGATTTGTTCTTTTCTCGATGAATGACCAAAATAATCGATTGTATACCAATCGATTGTGGTGACAGTTTCTCTCAGTTGTTTTTGTGAGAAGTTAGCCGAGGAAAAATACGAAAAGAAATTCCCACGGAAAAAAGTGTGAGAATATTATTATAGGAGTGTGAGAATATTATGGGAGAGAAGAAATATCGATGTGTATGTTAATAATGAATAAAGAAGAGAAAATTGTGTTACAATTAAGAATTGAAGTGTGTTAAAATTAAGAGGTTTTTATTATTAATACTGCAGTGACATTTCATTTTCTTCCTAGTGGATTGTTATTAATAACTGCAGTGAATAACTGCAGTGACAATTCGTTGTCTTCCTGGTGGAAATGATGTAAGTAGTTTTCTTTCAACATAAATCCTTCGACGTAATAAAAAAGTATAGTAAAAAAAGAAATAATCTTAAAGTTATCGAGTTTTATATGTGTTTACATACATCCGTTAGCTTCTTTTTCAATTGGAAAAAAGTCGGTAGTCGTGAACTACGTAAAGAGAAGAGAAGAGAAAGGAGAAAAAAAAATCTCGTGAATCGTAGAGTAGAATTGCCTCCTTTATTGAACGTTCAAATATCTCTCCAATTCTCCAACATCAAAATGAGATTTGATTCATTTATATCGTATCACTTAGACGATATTTGTGACGATTAAACATGATTTGCTTGATTTCATTTTCTACAGCTTTTTTTTCCCCCTATGAAAAAGAGAAGGACAGAGATGAAAATTAGCTGTAATTGATATTGTTAGAGATCAATTGTTCTTAAATATTGGAAAAATATTTTTCCATTGAATAACACATATTCTCATGTGATTTTTATTCTTCTCCTTTTTTCAGACCTGGTTTGAAGCAAATACATGGAGGTTTCGAGTTTATCTAGTTATCAACACACCGGAGAGTTTCCCTTTACTGGCGGAATAATCAATTTGTATCGATGAATATGGTGATTTATTGAAGAAATGGATGATATTGATGGGATAATTATGATCATGATGTTGATATTGATGATAATAATAATGATGATGGTGATGATTTGTCAATGAGACAGATAACTTTGATTTTTCATTTTATGAATTGTTTATGATTTGATGATATACTAATTGATAAAATGAATGATAAATTGAAAATGATGGAAATATTGTGATGTATGCCCATGAAAGCTTTACATGAGTGACATCAAGTTACAGAGATTTTAGTTGGTTTCGAATGTACGAGAATTTGAATTTAATTTGAATTTGTACGGGACAAATTTACTGAATCGAGACAAATCTACTCAATCGAGTTACTTCAGAATGCAGCTGACTTCCGATGATAGCATGAAATTTCCAGATTTGAAAATTCGAATGCATCATATGACCTGGCATATGATAGTCATGTCATCCTCTTCTTGCGGTTCGGATTTTTTTTCTAAATTTTAATTCTTTTTGAATTTTTATATTTTATGGTAAACGAAAATAGCTTCTTAATGTTTTTCTATGGTATTTCTAATCAGACCGATTCTAAGCGCTAAAGCGCTGATTGTTCGCGCAACCGCGCGCGTTATGGACCTAGTTAATTATAATTTGAGTACTGACCTTCGGAGGCACACCCAATGCAGACCGCCTACTCAGAGGCGGTTGATACCGCCTTACAATTTCTATTATTTGCGACACTCTTGCTGTCTTTAAGCGATAAACGTTTACAAAATTATAATTTGTGAGCTCCTCAAAGGGGTCCAAAGCATCATGGGAAATTCGAGGACAATAATAGTCATCTCCATCAGGCTCGAAATTACGAAAAACGTCAAAGTAAAGATACCTCTGAAAGTTGTCCATTTATTAAAAATGTATCGTTTATCTTTTAATTATCACTAAACGTACTTAACAAACTAGAATGTGCAAAGCACGTTGTTTACTAGAAGAGGTTAAGATTCACATACGTCAATTTTCGCGAGTAAATCACGCGAACCTATGGGTGAACGGAAGAACGGCAAAACCGATGGGTGAACGGAAGATCACCGCAAACGATGGGTGAACGGGCGGGCCAATCCGTCAACGGAGCCGTTTCTCATGTGACCCTAGCGCCGTGTGCGGTGAATCGGATCCCCACACGAGAAATGTGAGCGACACTACTTTCGTGTGGTGGAACCTATTCACATGACTCGAGAATATGCCCCCAGCAGCAGTCGCAGATAGTGTTTCCCGATACCCAAAAAAATATCGATACTCACAAGGAACATTACGCAGGTGTCCCCCTCCGATTTCGATAAAACTTAAATATGTTATAGGGGACCCAAAACTAAGGGACACGTATTTTTTTTTAGCTGCCCATATTGGGTTTTAGGGGGTGAAAGTGCTCTCTGAAGTTGACCACCTCTCGGGGTCATTTTTCGATTGCACACATAAGGAACCTTTTTGAACAACTCTTTCGCAGTGTATCATGAAGGTCACAAGGAATGATGAAAATGCGAATTAGAACCGTCTCCGGGGGGTGAAATATGGAGGGTAAACTACCCTTGTGAAAATTCATTTTTCTCATAGAAAAAAAACTTTTGATGGAAATCCCATAGGATAAATTCCATTTGAAAAAGTCAAACAAAAATACAGAATACCTGTTTTGATTTTTTTTAATCGAAATTTAAAACTTGAAAAAATAGATTTTTTGTGAATTGCGAAATTTCAAACTTTTTCCTGTACAAAACGAAGCTTACGGTTAATGATGAGGAAAACCATTGGGACAGGATCCAGGAGTGGTGTCGGGGAGGTTAACTACCTTTGGGAGGGGGGGGGGGAATTTTTTTTAATAAGGGGGAAAAATATTGATGAGAATTTTACGAAACACATTTCGTTCGAAAGCATGAGACAATTTAAAGCACATATTTAGGATTTTTTCCGCAAATTAGAATTTTAAGGTAAGAAAAATCGATTTTTTGAACAATTATGGGTTTTAAATCGTTTGTTATAATAGACTGACCTTACACGGAATCATAAGTGAAACAATTAAATAGTCTTCGGGAGTGATATTTGAGGGCTTAACAATCCTCATGGTATTTTATCGAATCGATCGGACCAACCTCATTCATTTTCAAAAGAAATCAGTAATGACCATGGATCTAAAAAATTTCACCGAAGGCCAGAGTACAGATTCCATTAAATGGCTTCCATTTCCAATTTGCAAAAATGAGTTATGATGAAATATATTGAGGAATTCAAATTTTCATCTGTATGTGAACGTGGATGGCAAAGAAGAGGCGATGATTTTGTATAGTAAATAATGGATCGATGATAAAATGTATTTCGGTTGCTCTTATCGCTTCGATGTAATATCGTTTTCAATGAGACGTAAATGGCGACATACGACAATCCCATTCTGTTTGATAATGCAGAACCACAACTGAAGAAAATTTGGGAGTTGTAAACATATTGTTGCAAATGGCTCATTTGTTATCTGAGGATGAAATTACTTTACTCAATATAACTTATACGATATCAATGTTTTTCATTTCCATCTCTCTTGTGAATTACAATCAGTCTATGAATATACATCGAAGAGAAAAGTAGTTTTTCGGTGAGTGTCGTGATCTATACTTGTTCTACCATGAAAGTTAATCCGATCAACGTTACCCGACTTCTGATGGCAACATTTGAAGTTCTCAATCTTGCTGAAACACCCGTGAACAACGAGGAACATGAATTAGCAGACACGTTCGAAAGGATATTGATTCAATCAATGGAGGAATATAATGGAGTTGAAATGATCGAAGAAACATCCCTGGATTTTCAAGAGCCTTATAAAGATATCGACACGATGGCGGTCGAGGATAAAGAATTTCAACCACATACAGAAGAATCACCTGACAGTTGTTCGGAGGATGAGGAACCTGTAGATTTCGAGTATAAAAAGAATGCCGTTGACTTCTGGAGGAGTGGAAAAAAGGAGAAGAATCTCTCTAAGTAGCTATATAAGGCCGGTTCTGGATAAACCGTCCGGGATTTAGTGGGCAGGTGAGAGGGTGCAGGTAAGAGGTGGGTGGGTGGGTGTGGATGTT